CTGTGTCAACTGCTCATCAACTCACTCAACTACACTTTTATGTACTGAAAGATTCAATGAACTACTCAACCACTTACCCAAGCAATCACCTGTGTCAACTGCTCATCAACTCACTCAACTACACTTTTATGTACTGAAAGATTCAATGAACTACTCAACCACTTACCCAAGCAATCACCTGTGTCAACTGCTCATCAACTCACTCAACTACACTTTATGTACTGAAAGATTCAATGAACTACTCAACCACTTACCCAAGCACCTCACCTGTCATCAACTGCTCATCAACTCACTCCAATCACCTACACTTCATTATGTGTGCTGAAAGATTCAATGAACTACTCAACCACTTACCCAAGCAATCACCTGTGTCAACTGCTCATCAACTCACTCAACTACACTTTTATGTACTGAAAGATTCAATGAACTACTCAACCACTTACCCAAGCAATCACCTGTGTCAACTGCTCATCAACTCACTCAACTACACTTCTATGTACTGAAAGATTCAATGAACTACTCAACCACTTACCCAAGCAATCACCTGTGTCAACTGCTCATCAACTCACTCAACTACACTTCTATGTACTGAAAGATTCAATGAACTACTCAACCACTTACCCAAGCAATCACCTGTGTCAACTGCTCATCAACTCACTCAACTACACTTTTATGTACTGAAAGATTCAATGAACTACTCAACCACTTACCCAACCAATCACCTGTGTCAACTGCTCATCAACTCACTCAACTACACTTTTATGTACTGAAAGATTCAATGAACTACTCAACCACTTACCCAACCAATCACCTGTGTCAACTGCTCATCAACTCACTCAACTACACTTTTATGTACTGAAAGATTCAATGAACTACTCAACCACTTACCCAACCAATCACCTGTGTCAACTGCTCATCAACTCACTCAACTACACTTTTATGTACTGAAAGATTCAATGAACTACTCAACCACTTACCCAACCAATCACCTGTGTCAACTGCTCATCAACTCACTCAACTACACTTTTATGTACTGAAAGATTCAATGAACTACTCAACCACTTACCCAACCAATCACCTGTGTCAACTGCTCATCAACTCACTCAAATACACTTCTATGTACTGAAAGATTCAATGAACTACTCAACCACTTACCCAACCAATCACCTGTGTCAACTGCTCATCAACTCACTCTCAACTACACTTTTATGTACTGAAAGATTCAATGAACTACTCAACCACTTACCCAAGCAATCACCTGTGTCAACTGCTCATCAACTCACTCAACTACACTTTTTATGTACTGAAATATTCAATGAACTACTCAACCACTTACCCAACCAATCACCTGTGTCAACTGCTCATCAACTCACTCAACTACACTTTTATGTACTGAAAGATTCAATGAACTACTCAACCACTTACCCAAGCAATCACCTGTGTCAACTGCTCATCAACTCACTCAACTACACTTTTATGTACTGAAAGATTCAATGAACTACTCAACCACTTACCCAAGCAATCACCTGTGTCAACTGCTCATCAACTCACTCAACTACACTTCTATGTACTGAAAGATTCAATGAACTACTCAACCACTTACCCAAGCAATCACCTGTGTCAACTGCTCATCAACTCACTCAACTACACTTTTATGTACTGAAAGATTCAATGAACTACTCAACCACTTACCCAACCAATCACCTGTGTCAACTGCTCATCAACTCACTCAACTACACTTTTATGTACTGAAAGATTCAATGAACTACTCAACCACTTACCCAAGCAATCACCTGTGTCAACTGCTCATCAACTCACTCAACTACACTTTTATGTACTGAAAGATTCAATGAACTACTCAACCACTTACCCAACCAATCACCTGTGTCAACTGCTCATCAACTCACTCAACTACACTTTTATGTACTGAAAGATTCAATGAACTACTCAACCACTTACCCAACCAATCACCTGTGTCAACTGCTCATCAACTCACTCAACTACACTTTTATGTACTGAAAGATTCAATGAACTACTCAACCACTTACCCAAGCAATCACCTGTGTCAACTGCTCATCAACTCACTCAACTACACTTTTATGTACTGAAAGATTCAATGAACTACTCAACCACTTACCCAAGCAATCACCTGTGTCAACTGCTCATCAACTCACTCAACTACACTTTTATGTACTGAAAGATTCAATGAACTACTCAACCACTTACCCAACCAATCACCTGTGTCAACTGCTCATCAACTCACTCAACTACACTTTTATGTACTGAAACATTCAATGAACTACTCAACCACTTACCCAACCAATCACCTGTGTCAACTGCTCATCAACTCACTCAACTACACTTTTATGTACTGAAACATTCAATGAACTACTCAACCACTTACCCAACCAATCACCTGTGTCAACTGCTCATCAACTCACTCAACTACACTTTTATGTACTGAAACATTCAATGAACTACTCAACCACTTACCCAACTAATCACTCAACCAATCGCTTGAGTCTACTGCTCATCAACTTACTGAACCAATCACCGAACAGATCAATCACTTGCTTGACCTCTCCACAATCTGACCACCCATACAAACAATATTTCAATGCACTGATGAAGAAGACATTAAAGCAAATAAAGACTGGAACACTGATCACATGAATAGTAATATGTCTACATTTGAAGCCTTTTGCTGTTGGTGAACAGTTTCCATACACTGTTTAGATCCTGTACACAGACTGAATGAATGACTCAAGTCACGGCTATTAGTGGAATGTTTGACCAATGAGTGGAGACGATCCTGCTAAGGATATAGTCCTGCATTTCTGGCTATGCTTGGCAACAATGTAGATATTCAGCTTCAAATATATATACCTTCAACAACAGGAACTGCTAGCAAGACATTAGTTGTCGATTGACAATTTGTTTCCTGTTCTAAGCCTTCATTTAATTACCATATATTACCGTATATAAGCCGACCCCATAGATAAGCCGACCCCCAAACTTGACCCTTAAAATCAGTGTCAAGGTATGTTTCGTACATAAGCCGATCCCCCGCTATTGGGTTCTAATAGCGGAAACACAGACCACAGACAACTGGCAGTTACCAATAATTATAACTTTGGTCCACATTATTCAAAGAATTCACAATCATATATATTGCGTCTACTCACGCATCGAAATGAAGTGTAGTTGACAGAAAATGGATAATATATTTTGTTTCACTAAATATCATACTTATTGTAGCAACAAACTATTACCCCATTCAACAATCACGAACTGATTACCGCCTCGTTTTCCATGGACTGCTAGTTTACAGTAACATCGGTAAAAATGTGTAAATTTAAATGGCTTGCTTATTTTGCCCCATTCCATGTGCGTACAACTTCTGCTTACCACATTAATGAGGGTCCGTATAACCTTAGTGTTATATTATTGTGCATGTTTGAACTTGCTCGCCGGGAAACGTGTGCACAGCTGATTGCTATTTCCAGCTCAAATACACACGGTAATCTTAATATTAATTAATTTATAGAGCAAAAACTGTAATTAAAATTACACAATGCTAGGATATATTTCTTTGGGTTAAATAATAGTATTCTGTATTATATTTTACTGATGACTGCGTCAGAATTCATCCCGTTATATTATTGTGCATGTTTGAACTTGATCGCCGGGAAACGTGTGCACAGCTCAAAACTTAAAAGGTAAATAATCTTGTCTAGTGATGTTTAATTGCAAATTTGACGTGTTTACTGACAAAGTCGTCTTCTGTTGTTTGTTCACGCGAAGTGATATGATGTTGTTTTCTTAGCCCTGGAAAAAAGTTTCACGAAATGTAACCCATAGATAAGCCGACCCCCTTCTACAGGCTGCTTTTTTTGGTCCTCAAAATTCGGCTTATATACGGTAATATACAGTACCTTTTTCATGTAAGACTGTTTCCCTTATGCAAGATATCGTGAGGTAACCCATCACGTTAGTGGCTGCTGTAAGCACACCTCCAGTGTCTAGACATGGTGTACTCACAAACAGGACTTCCTCAATTGTCATGTATTTCTTAATGTAGGATTTAGCATATTTTTATGTCTTGTCATTTTATGTCTGGAGACATTTTTTGGTGACACTGCCCTTGGCACCACATTAAACAATGTAACCTGACTGGGGAAAAGTAATTTGAAATTAGACTTGCACAGTCATGTACAAATTCTTGTACTTTGGGGGTTGAGTCCCACCTGGCATTCGAACTCACACTCTGAGTGAGGCACCAAATCACCAGCAGACATATTCAGAGATCTAACTACTCGTCCACCAAGGTTTTAAAGACCCTGACAACTGCTTGTCAGATCTCATACTTTGTGTACCCCTCTGACAGGTGTCAGTAGGCACAACTCAAAAAGTAATAAAACTTTTACTTTACTGAGAAAGTGTCATCCTTAATATACCATTTGTTACATCTGACCACTTTCTAAGAGACATTGTGTATTTACAGCTTCCTGCCAAGGGACCCATGTTAAGTTTTACTAGCCAAAGGAGTACACAAAGTATATGATGTAAACAACGAGTTGTCAGCCTTCCAGTTTTAGTGAAAACCTTGGTTGGTGAGTGGATAATTCCTCTGACTTTGTATGCTGGCAATTTGGTTCCTCACAATTTGGGTTTGGGTTTGAATCCTGGATGGGACTCTGCCCTGAAAGTACCCGAGTTTGTACTTTACAAAGAATGTGTAATCTTAAAAATAACATACGTTACATTTGACCACTTTCTACATGGCTTTGTGTATTCATATGAAATAAAGTTCTGAATGAGAGTTGTTGTCATAATGACTTAGTATGCATTTGCTTCATTCACATTGCAATATTTGCATGTTATTATCATGATCTGGTTGTCTGATTCCTGAAGCACACCTGTAGAAGATGAGTGTTGGTGTGTTTGGCTGATCTATTCCTGAAACATGCATATAGAGGCCGTGTGTTTCTTTGTTTCAGACCCATGTATGGATACCATGCACAAGAAGAAGAATTCCTCAAGATCTACATGTTTAACCCTTCATCTGTCAAGAAGTAGGTGATATGTTGATAACTTGTTTGTTAGCCTTCACCTTATGAAATGTTTTCCCCTGATGTTGACTGTTCATGCTTTGCATTCATATCGGTTCAGTGTTATGGACATGCATGTATAATCATTAGGTCAAAATGTTTTCTTGCATACAGGGAAGGCTAATATTTTTATCCCCCGCAACACGTTTTGCAGGGGCTATTAAAATGGAACTCTGTCCGTGCGTGCGTCCGTCTGTCCTTCCGTGCACATTTGTCTTTTCTGGAGCAGAACTCAAAAAACATTCTCTATTTCTTCACCAAACTTGGCACATAGATAGATCTGGTGGTGTACTGGTGCCTTTTCGTAGTTTTGGAATTCTGAATAAAATATTTTTGGCGTTTCCGTGGCAACAAGTTTTGACTTAGCCTGAAATTGGTGGGAGTACACTTTTCCGGAGCTGAACTCTAAAACCGTTCACTATTTCTTTACCAAACTTGGCACATAGATTGGTCTGGTGGTGTACTAGTGCCTTTTGGTAGTTTTGGAATTCTGAATAAAATATTTTTGCCATTTCCATGGCAACAAGTTCGACTTACATTGAAATTAGTGGTAGTGCTCTTTTCCGGAGCAGAACTCTAAAACCGTTCACTATTTCTTCACCAAACTTGGCACATAGATAGATCTGGTGGTGTACTGGTGCCTTTTCGTAGTTTTGGAATTCTGAATAAAATATTTTTGGCATTTCCATGGCAACAAGTTTGACTTAGCCTGAAATTGGTGGTAGTGCTCTTTTCCGGAGCTGAACTCTAAAACCGTTCACTATTTCTTCACCAAACTTGGCACATAGATTGGTCTGGTGGTGTACTGGTGCTTTTTGTAGTTTTGGAATTCTGAATAAAATATTTTAGGCATTTCCATGGCAACAAGTTTGACTTAGCCTGAAATTGGTGGTTGTGCTCTTTTCCGGAGCTGAACTCTAAAACCGTTCACTATTTCTTCACCAAACTTGGCACATAGATTGGTCTGGTGGTGTACTGGTGCCTTTTGGTAGTTTTGGAATTCTGAATAAAATATTTTTGGAGTTTCTATGGCAACAAGTTTGACTTAGCCTGAAATTGGTGGTAGTGCATTTTTTCAGAGCAGAACTCTAAAACCGTTCAATGTTTCTTCACCAAACTTGGCACATAGATAGATCTGGTGGTGTACTGGTGCCTTTTGGTAGTTTTGGATTTCTGAATAAAATGTTTTTGGCATTTCCATTGCAACAAGTTTGACGTAGACTGAAATTGGTGATAGTGCTCCTTTCTGGAGCAGAACTTTAAAAACCTTTCAATACTCTCCTTCCACTTTTCTATATACACACCTAAATATTTGACATAATCATAACTCGTGGACATAATCATGAAGAGTATTTTGCCATTGCGAGGGATATTGATGACTTTGTCTTCTTGTTATTGTTGTAAGTATAATGTAATAATTCCTCTATCAGCTGATAAAATCCATCATGGGGGGCACAGGGGGAGCCCTCTTGACAGTAAACTGTGATGTAAATGTAAATGTCTGAGACTTGTGTATCTTTGGATTTTACTTCCACATTCCCAACTCACTCATTCACTTTCATAGCATCATAAATATCTCTCTCAAAAGCTTCATTCAATTGTCATCTCTGCCAGGCTATCAGTTTTGCATAAGAGAATGTAAACTGAGATATTTTGTTTTGCAGTTTGGACATTTTCACAAATTGTTGCTGTATGTCTGAGGTTTAATATTAGCCTGAGTAGGTTTAGATATAGGCCCTGCTCACAACACAAGTCATTCTCAACTCAACCTGAACAGGGTGCACAATAGTATCTTCTACCTGTTTGCACAAGAAGTCTCAACCCAGTGATTTATCCAATGATTTCCAAGCACTCAATGTCAATGTATTGTGAAATGCAATGTGACCTTACTTATGTTGAACTGTCAAAGTGTTGAGTGTTCTAAACGATGCAAGTGAGCATCAGGTTACCACAGTGACTGCACTCATTGTAGATAATTTATCCACAGTGAACAGGCTGTTTGGTTGTGCTGTGTTAACTCAGGCAAAACGAATGACATTTATATAGGAATGAGGGCCAATGGGGTAGCCTAGTGGTTTAAGCATTTGCTTATCATGCCAAAGACCTGGGTTTGATTCCCAACATGGGTACAGTGTGTGAAGCCCATTTCGTGTGTCCCCCACTGTGATATTGCAGGAAGGAGGTGATTTCTGTTCAGAATACCTAAATTCAAACACAAAATTGTATTATTTGTTCTTGGTGGTGTGTTATAGCACACAGGCAGACATACAATGTGCACACAGGCTGACGTAGACAGTGGTAGTAGTATGCCCATGTCCTGGCTATACGCTGGTTTGTTTACCAACTCAACTGATTACTGAGTTTTGTCAGGTGCACAGTCAGGTAGCATGGGTTGCATGTCAGCACTAATGTTAGCATGTAAACTTGTTATATCTTTGTTGCTGACCCTTAACTTGCATGTCAGTTATTCAGTTCATTGTAAACAGGAATGATTTATGTTTCTAGAATAAACCTATTGTGTCAGTATCATGTGCAGAATACATAAGATTGTAATATTGGATATTAAGGTCAAGTACGTCTGTAGAATATCTCAAGGTTTGATCCAATTCTATGATTCTATGAAGTGCGAACAATCAAAAGGAAGGTACATTGTTAATAAGTCTGCTTTATGTGTACATTTTACATTTTTGTGTCAGTTAATATTGCTTGGTATAGATTTTCCCATCACGCTCAATCTTTCACTTTTCATTGTTTTTTATACACATCAGTTTTTCCAGTTTCATATCAGCTCCTAATCAGTGTAACATGGGCATAAACAATTGTTAGTGACATTGTCAAAGTACTCAGACCAATCAACAATTACTAAAAAGAACCAATTTTTAAAATGGGTATGTTTTCGCTAAATGTAATGTACTGAATCAATAAAACTTAAACATGATGGTGTAGCAGGTGTCACAGTCTGTAGCTACTGAAAACAGCAGATATTGCACCAAGTCAGTCTAATCACACCAGGCCCCGATTTCTTTAAACAAACTTAAGTTTTTACTCAAATTTCAAACTGAGTTTGACAATTTGAAACAGCTGAATTTTAACTCAACTGCATGTTTTAAATAAAAATGCCCAAACAACTTAAGTAATCTATCCACCAAACTCAAATTGTCTACTATGTTTGAGTTTAATATCGATTTCCATTTATTCTGGATATGCATTTTCCTGCGTTTTCTCAAATTTGAGTAAAAACTCTAACTTAAGTTTGTTTTGAGAAATTGGGGCCAGGAGGAACCTGTTTCAGAATACTTAAAAAGTGTTACTAGTAAACAAAGACAAACATTGAGCTATTTGGGAGAATCAGACTGCAGAAATTGAGAGAACGTCTCTATATAAAGTTTAAGAACCTACCTGACATATAATTCATTTATTAAATCTATCACATTTCACAATGTCCGAAAGCACTTATTACATTTCATATTTCCATATATTATTGATAGAATTAGAATTATAAACTATTCTTTGCAATGCTATTGAAGAAAATTGGTTCTCGGACACATGCTTTGGAAAACGTATCCACATCAAAATTGTCACAGAGCAAAGTAACGATGTTTAGTTTCTGGTTAACTGGTGTTGAAAGAGTGAAAGATGTATTCCAAAGCAAACATGAACAAATGAAAGTCTATTGCTACTGGTCTTAATTTACTCACTGACCCTGTCAGTATTACCCCATTTGTTTAAGTTCCCACACAAAGATGGTTCAGTGATTGTCACCTTGGTTGAACAATGCTATAGCCTACCTCGTATCAATGAGCATGAATAAGACAGGGTTGGTTATGGGTGGTGTCGGATGAGGTGAGAGAGGATGCAGATGTGCTCTTTCGAGATAAAAAAGTAATTAATTTTGGCTGTAAATTGCATGGTTTAAACACAAAGCAATATGAGCAACATTTACAGGAATCAGCAGTGATGGCAAGGCACCTCAGTTGTCTGAGATCCTGATTGTGAGATGTGTCAGCACTGAGCCAAGTGTTTCACAAGTGTTTAGCTGTCAAGACCTGTGCCATTATAGTTTCAGATACCATCATGTAACTGAAATACTCTTCAGCATGTTTTTTACAGTTTAGCTTTTTCTAATGTCAGAGTGTATTCAAAGGTTTGTGTCATTGTTTTCAGGGCAGCTGACCTTTTATTGGGCGGTGCAGTGATGAACAAGCCCTTCCAGCCCCATGAGGCTCACATACCATACAACTTACAGGTGAGTCTGTCTCTTGATCCCAGAGCATATATACTATGTTAAACAAGTTAGAGCACACCCACCACTACCTGCCTACCAGCCACGACGGATTAACTATAGTCATATGAAACAAAGCCTGTGGTCTCGTACTTCTTTTCAGTAGTAATCACACTTGCACCATTTACTTCCGTGTGTTTGTCGTCCCAGTCAGCCTATACTGAAACCCCTTTTGGTTCTTTCAGTTTATGCATGTCTCCTTCTCAGCTCAATCAGGACATAGTTGTCTCCTTCTCAACTCTGTCTGCATGTACCGTCCCCTTCTCACTTCTAGCAGCCTGTATTCATCGCCTTCTCAACACCATCAGCCTGTACTCTTCCCCTTCTCACTTCTATCAGCCTGCACTCATCCCCATCTCTCCTCCATTAGCCTGCACTCATCCCCATCTCTCCTCCATTAGCCTGCACTCATCCCCATCTCACCTCCATTAGCCTGTACTCATACCCTTCTCAGTTCCATCAGCCTGTACTCATCCCCTTCTCAGTTCCATTAGCCTGCACTCATCCCCATCTCACCTCCATTAGCCTGTACTCATCCCCTTCTCAGTTCCATCAGCCTGTACTCATCCCCATCTCACCTCCATTAGCCTGCACTCATCCCCTTCTCAGTTCCATCAGCCTGCACTCATCCCCATCTCACCTCCATTAGCCTGCACTCATCCCCATCTCACCTCCATTAGCCTGTACTCATCCCCTTCTCAGTTCCATCAGCCTGTACTCATCCCCTTCTCATTTCCATCAGCCTGTACTCATCCCCTTCTCAGTTCCGTCAGCCTGTACTCATCCCCTTCTTATTTCCATTAGCCTGTACTCATCCCTTCTCAGTTCCGTCAGCCTGTACTCATCCCCTTCTTATTTCCATTAGCCTGTACTCATCCCTTCTCAGTTTCATTAGCCTGTACTCATCCCCTTCTCAGTTCCATCAGCCTGTACTCATCCCCTTCTCAGTTCCATCAGCCTGTACTAATCCCTTTCAGTTCCATCAGCCTGTACTCATCCCCTTCTCAGTTCCATCAGCCTGTACTCATCCCTTTCAGTTCCATCAGCCTGTACTCATCCCCTTCTCATTTCCATCAGCCTGTACTCATCCCCATCTGAGTTCTATTTTTAATGGTCACATGCAATGTAAAACACAACTTTGCAGATTCTGATAGCTTTCGGTATGGACTTACCGAAACAAATCATCAAAAATGCAAATTCAACTTATAAAGTTGAAAAATGACGCGATGAAAAGAAACGCGCAAAATCGTAGTTCAAACGATTCACTAATTTTCCCCAAGCGCTTGGGGGAATTCAAGTGGTTTCAACAGCTTGGCTGCGCTCATAGCACGTGCGCAGTGAAATAGGTTCGCGCAGCTTGGAAGCGGGTTGTCCGGTGAATACTCGGTGAAGGCTTTGGTGTGAGCTATTTTTCTAATGTTTTGTTGATATTTCACAGGCGAGAGCTTTTTATATGTTATGACAGTAGATTAACTGTTTATATAATTTCATTTGTCTATTTCACCACACGTTCTTCTTACCAATCACTTTCTCAGTTCGATACTTAGCAATGTCATTATTTAGCGTTGACAGAATTTCTAACTGTGATATAGATATGTCGTTGTCACAGACAAAACTCAATGTCTGTTTTATTGACACCTATGTGTGTGCCTGCCTGTCTGCTAATGACCATATTCAATACACAACTGCAATCACTGACCACATGCAATTTGAACTTAACACCAATCAGGCTATACACCATAAACAAAATGCATTGATTTATGGCCCGAGTTCGGTCTCTGTCACATTATGTAATTACACAGACAGGCAGGTGTGATACTTGTACACATTACATGTTATGATGTCTGTTGATTGCAAAATGTTATACACAAAAAATGAGCATGTATTTACAAAACCCAACATCTCTATATTTACACACACAATGAGCCATGAGGGCATCTGCAAATGAACCAGCCGTTACACTTGAGTGCACACCCACCCACTCTGACTGGGTTTGGTATCCCGGCTGCTTCGTTTCTTGGGAAGTAAACCCAAGTACACAATATTGCACTTTTGATTTGCAATTGTACGCTTATAATTTTGTTTATATGTTTTTTCATAACCAGCAATGTATATTATATGTCATGAATAAGTGATAATTGTGTTTTAATTATGTTTGATTTTGGGGTTGCATGTGACCTTTAAGAATTATTGTAATTAAACTTGTATTTATCTTTCTATTGGGATTAGTCAATGTGGGCTTGTGTCATAGTGTTGCATTTACTGAGGCCCCCTCCATTGCCACTGTATTTCAGTGCGGGTAATTGCAACGCACCAAGTCAGACAAGGTAACCTTTCTGTATGATTGTCTGGAAATTAGGTTGTTTTAAAAGGATGTAATGTTATCACCTCAGAACTAGCTACAATTGCAGGTGGTTTTAGAAACCTATCATGGGGCAATGTACTTTCCGTGCAATCAGAACCTACACCTAGTTTGGCTTTAGTTACTACTCTGGGTAAATGTCCTTTCTACTAAAAAAATGTTTTATGGCTGATATTGTCATGTGATACATTGTGATGGGGTATCAGTCCTTAGTAGCAGGCAGAATAGGTCCCTATCTCGTTATGTCTATAAGACTCATCTAAAATACATACTAATCACTCATGAATTAGTTATGTAAAAAGTCTTTAATCAGCATCCCCTTCTACAAACAATACCTTTTAAAGGCAGAAAATACTTTATGATGGTGTATATGATATTTAATTAGAGACTGGTCCTAAATGTTTCCATCAAGGCTACAAAGATTAAGTTTTAAATATAAATAAAATATAGAATGACTGGACTGCCAGCTTTTTTATAAAGATGGCTGGCAGGCAGATATGAAACTGAACACATATATAAAGTATGACTAGAAATTATTGAGAATTTTAGGAGTATGTTTAATTTGATTTCTAGTATAAACAACCTTGACCAGCTATCAAGTGCTTGGTTTCATTCAAGAGAGACAACTCTGTTAATCCTTTTTTCATTAGTTTGTGAAGAGTTATCTCCCATTGTTTACTTGCTAGCAGACGACATTTTCAGTGATCCTCAGTATGGACGATTTAGATAAGAGGAAGTTGATTTTAGAGTATTATAACAAGGACATCAGATCAGCTAAAGTGATTTCAAGTAGAACAGGCATCCCTTTGTCCACTGTTTATCGTGTTTTGAAAAATATTGCAAATGGATATGGCATTGAGCACCAGGGAGGCGCAGGTAGGCCCAGAAAATTGACTGTCGGTGACAGGAGGCGGCTTGGTATTCTTGTTTCTAAAAACAAACGAAGGAGTTTAGAAAACTTAGGGCTGGATATGATTGATAGAGGAACTGTGGCTGTCTGTAAGGAGACAATTAGAACTGAGCTGCATGCAATGGGTTGGCAAAAAAGTCGAGAATTCCATCACCGATCATTACACCTGAACAAAAAAGAGCGAAGGTTGAACTGGTGCTTACAGCATAGAAATGTTAACTGGGACAATGTGATTTTCTCAGATGAAAGTTCTGTGTGGCTGTTTCCTAATACCAGTGTATGAAATACGGCCCGTCCGACTGCCCGAGACAGCCTACATTTCTACATTTCTGACGGACGGTCTAAATTTACAGCTAGCCAGCCCGATGGTCTGGTAAAGATTTTAGATGTTCCATACATCTGAGTAAATTCACCATATTTGGTCTGGTTAAATCCATTTTTGGCTGGTAACATTTTGAAGTTACCAGCCCTGATGTCTGGCTGGATTTTTGGCTTATTTCGTACACTGCTAATACACTGAAATTCTGGACCAAACAAACTGAAAAACCTTTGTATCAGCGCCCAAACTACAGTCCGAAATTTAATGTGTGGGGTAGCATATCTGTGTTAGGGGCAACGCCCCTCTGTGTATTTGAAGGGAATATGAACAGTGAGCGGTACACAGGTATTCACGAGGGACATTTACTTCCATCTGCTCACATGTTCTATGGAAATGTTTGGATTTTCCAGCAGGACAACAACCCAAAACATCGTTCAAAGCATTCACAGGCCTCGTTTCGGACCCAAAATATGACATTATTAGATTGTCCAAGCTATGACCTGACCTAAATCCAATAGAAAATGTTTGGGGACTTATGAAGGAAAGTGTCAATAAGAAAAATCTGACAAATATTGCTGAAATGAAAGAAGAGGTGGTCCGATATTGGGACAGCATGGACCACGACTTTCTAACTTCTTTGATCAGTAGTATGCCCCGCCACATTGAAGCCTGCATTGCTGCCCATGGTGACTTGACAAAATACTAACTGTTCACCTGTCTTTGAATCTGGAGTTATGTTCTGCTAATATTCACATTTAATACGTGAGTAATGAGTGAATTGGTTTTTTTAAATTACAATCTTAAATTCTCAATAATTTCTGGTTGCACTGTATATGTTAACAATCCAGGAGCAAACCAGGAGATGAAGGGGGATTAATGGCAGCTGAGAGAATGATTCTAGTCATAACATGGCCTGTCTTATTATCCTTCGGAATTAAGTGTCATATCAGATAATTGTTGTCATTAACTGGATCACGGTGACACCATATCAAGTTTTGGATATTTCTATTCAAATATCGAACCAGAAAGTGGACCTAGGTGCACTTGTACAAAACAACCTTTGCGCTAAGACTGTCATAAGTCAGTGTTATAGTACATGAGTTACGATTACTTTTGTGTTAAGATTGCTTTTAGAAGGGCACCCTGAACCTTGTATTGATACAAATAATGAAAACTTGTTGCCTTTGACTACTTTTAGAATTTGCAATCACTCTGTACATGTTGAAAAAGGATGATGGATGTATTCACTGTAGTTTGATAGGATTTGTCAATTTATTTATATTACTGTCTGCAGCGAGTGTCGCTTCTTGTTTGAGAGTACACATTAAGATATTGATCCTCACTTTCTCAAAATGAATTATTATGTCAAGCCT